TCTGTTTTTGCGAAACCGACACCCCAAAGCTTTGTTATATGCTTGCGTGGTTCTAATATAGTTCCTGACTTTGTGCTTTCCTTTGATTTTGTGGCATATCGCTCGATGTCCGAGTCGGTCGCGGATGAAACCTTTGCCGGAGGCGCCATTCCCCTCGCCGGAGGAGTTTGCGGTTTGAGGCCGCCTCAGTCAGTCCTATATTTCCTCAGCCTTTAGTGTGCATATACGTGTTTGATTTGCTGGAATGGCATTTGTTTTTTTTTTATGAGTGTTCTTGGTGACATTGACATCGCCGGAATGGTCCGACATTAGCCAGAGTGGTGGCCGGAAAGAGGACCGATGGACATGACTTGGTGGTGGTCGGCGATGTTGGCTATTGACGTCGACGGTTGGAGGTCGTGGTCGACGATGCTAGGGAAGTTCACAGGTGGAGAGGTTTCGGCGCAGTCTCGGCGTTGAAGAAGACAGGCGTGAGGAGGTCTCGGTGAAGAAGAAGGTATGCAGTAGGGGGGGAAGAAAAGGAATAAAAAATTAGAGAGAAAAAGAAATAGAAAAAGAGAGAAAATAGGAAAAGAAAAAATCAGAAAAGAAATAGGAAAAAACATCCCGGGCAGGTCAGAGAGAGTCGGGTCAGGTGTCAGGCAGATCGGGTCAGGGGACCGGTCCGGAATCTTTATTTTATTAATAAAAATTTAAAAAATCAAAATTTAAAAAATTCGAAAATGTTTAAAAGTCCAAAAAAATATTAATAAATCTGAAAAACATTAAAAATTTAAAAATTTAAAAAATTTAAAAAAATTAAAAGTTTAGAAAATTTTGGAAAAACTCCAAAAATCCATAAAATCAAAAAATATTGTTTGGGCTTTGGAACTTGCCTTTGCTTGCCCTTTTTGTGTGATTAATACCATGTTTGATTTCTCGCATCTTGAATTGTGTGTTTAATTTATGTTTGCCTGTGGTTGATTAGGCATGTTAGACTCGCATGTTGATTGTTACTTCCCTTAGCTTGGAATTTTGAGACTCTCAATTAGTGTGAACATGTTAGGCAGTAATTGAACAAGGTTAGGTACCGAAATGGCACTAGTTAGTCAATTAGTGTAATCAAGTCCCCGTACCCATTAAGTCTCTAGTTCGTAAAAGTAAAATATTTCACCCGTGCTTTACTTAGGTGTCTAATCGACCCACAAAAAACTGATTAGTGGTGACTCCTAGATGAAATTGATTTGCATGTTAACAACTCAAACTTTAAGTGGTGAGTTGGAATGGGCTTGGGAGAGCTCGAGCTAGGTTTAACTTAGTAATCTATTAGCCAAACCCCTTAGGCGACTAGGCCGGTTCGGGGAGGTTGCGACAATGGGTTCAGACTTTCCAATGATAAATGGAGGTCTTTTGCTGTAAAAAAGGGGCTGGTTGAGCCGTTGCAGAACATGAAGTGGAGCTCGAAATAGAGAGAGTTCAAAAATACGAGAAAAACAAGAGAGTTCTTTTCTATGGCTATGGTTTCGCCACATCTTTCTTCTCGATAATTTGTAGCAAATTCCTTTGTTCTAGTGAACCTAGTTGCGCCGCTCTTGCTATTCTCGATCCCGTGTCGCTTTTGTTTCTTCTTTGCGTCACTTCTTACATCGCTTCTTGTTTCTTCTTTGCGTCGGCGATGTTCGGCTTTGCGTTCTTGCTTGTTGCTATTGCTCATCGCTTCGTTATTTTTGTCTACCGTTGTTCGTCGTTGTTCGCTCTTTGTGTCGTCGCTGTTCGTTGTTGTTTCTTTTGTTCGCCTACTTGCATCCTCGCCGCCACTTGTTCGCCATTATTGTTCTTGCTACTCATCGTCGTTGTTCGCTCCCGTTTCTTTGCTTTGCTCTTGCTCGGCGTTGTTTTCGAGTTCATCATTGCTTGTTCGTCGTTCGCGATTCTTTGTTGCGCCACCTTGTTACCCGTTCTTCTTTGTTCGCCTCACTTTCCGCTATTGTTCGTTGCCGTTCATTGCTGTTCATTGTTGTTGCATACCTTCGGTTGCTTTCCGCAGTTCACTGTCAATTTCTTGCGGTTAGCTTAAACCAAGGTGAGGATGAGATCGGTTTAAATTTGTGGATTGTCAGTACATGATTTTAACTACATGTCATTTAGTCAATAAAACCTTAGCTTATCTAGTTATGTATTTTCTTTGCATTAACCAAGATATATTATGGCGTTTGGACCTTTAGACTCTAAGATCAAACCCTTAATATTATCTGGGTGTAATTCTTTGATCCGTAAAAGCATTTTTTTGAAATAAAGAGAAAAGATACCAAGTCCCTGAATCCCTTGAATCTCTAGTTCGTGGAAGTAAAATATGCTCCCATATTTTACTTGGGTATCTAATCGACCAATAACCGATTAGTGGCGACTCCAAAAGGTAAGATTAATTACATGATGGATTGAGTACCAAGTTGCGATCGGATGGGTTTGGGAGAGTCCGCACTAAACTTGAACGATTGCCTCGTGAGAGAAACCTTCGTTCTCGTTTAGTAAGTCCGTTAGCCTTCCCCCGTTGGTTTACCTTCACGAAGGTCGCGGCAGTTGCTGCGGCGGTGCCCTACCTAGAACGGTGCTATTATTTGGTATGGCAGCTTTAAACACTCCTCGACTCTTGTAGTCTGCTTTGAAGTGCAATATATACCCGATGCCAAACCGACTGAGAAAAGTGATAATTTCAAACTACACCAAAGGTTAACTTCTGCTTAAAATGGCTTCAACTTGAACTATATCTAGTCTAAAACAATGTTTTTTGTGGTAGGTATAATGTAGAAAATGCTCTTCATGTATACTACAATTAGATTAACTTTTTTAGCCATTAATTTAATAGGTTTTCAAACAAAAGATGTTCAATTTTTCAAATAGATCATTAATCCGAAAGTAAAAGGCGATGTCACTCATATGTTTGCAAAAGAATATGCTCTTGAGGCATAAATTAAGTGTGTTAAAGTAGGTAAATCATTTGATTACATTCTCAAATTAACCAATTCCACTTTCCCTCGATTCCTCCTATAGTTTCTCCTCCTCCTCCTCCTCCTTCTCCTTCTCCTTCTCCATCTCCTGCTACTGCTGCTGCTTCTTCTTCTCCTCCTCCTCCTCCTCCTCCTCCTCCTCCTCCTCCTTCTCCTCCTCCTCCTCTTTCTTCTTCTTCTTCTTCTTCTTCTTCTTCTGCTTCTCCTTTTGCTCCTTCTGCTCCTCCTTCTCCTTCTCCTGCTTCTCCTTCTTCTAACTCGGGCTCGGAGGGTACAAGACCTTGTTTGGCTTGGCTCAGTGCACGAGGGATCTATCGGTAGATGACTGCAAGACGTGCCCCGAGGGCGCGATAAGTGACCTGCCGAGCTGCTGCTATGGCAAACGAGGAGGGAGGACCGTTGGTGCTAGTTGCAACGTTAGATATGAACTTTACCCTTTCGTCGATGTTTGAGATTTGTTTGAAACTCAATCATCTCCGCAAATGGATGCGCCACGTATGGTGCATCATAGTTTGAAGAAATCAAATCCAATAATGGATGAATCTCACAAGGATGTTTAGTTTTTTCAGGTTTTAGCTTTATATAAAAAAAATTTCTTCTTGTTCCTAAGAGTGCCCATAGTAACTGAGCATGCATTAAAAGAAAGCAGTCTTAAACTTCAATGTAACACCTTCTAGGTCCTACATGAGAGAGGAGGTTGTGTGTTGATATATCAATGGAGACTCAGTTTAAGTTGCCAATTAAGGATCTCTTTGTGAGGGATTGGTTATGGACCTATATGAATTTGGATGGGATTGTTGCAAATGATATAAAGCATTAATTCTTGGACTGACTTGGGGGAAAATTTAGCTATAATATGTTTTTTTTTTTTGCTAAATTTTAGCTATAATATGTTGGTCCAAAGGAAGAGCGTCATTGGCCACTCTCGTCGGCTAAGAGATAAAAAAGAAAGAAAAGAAAAGACAAAATAAAATAATAAAAAAATCTAAAAAAATTGAAAATTTATAAAATTTGTCCATGTTGACGCCGGTTGTGCCAAGTAGAACGGTCGGCATCTATATCAGTGATTTTTAGCCAAAATTAGCTGGATAAACTATATTAACAAATCATTAAAAAGTTTAGAACTCAATTGCTACAATTGAAATGACTATGATTGAAATGACAGTTTGGTACAAATGTAATAGGTTTAAGACTATTTTGATACTTTTCCCTTCAGGTAGTTCAATCGTTTTCTTAAATTTCCCCATAACAAAACTAGGAATTTAAATCGTGAATCAAGGACGTATCGAGTAAACTTCATACTTCTCCTACAGTTTTTGTTTCGCAAAATCATCGATTGGGCGTGCTCGCCAGCTTCGTTGAAGTTGACCTATTGCTTTTGCTGCCATTGGTGGGTGGGATACATACAAAGAAGAAAAAGTCAACAAGTTTCTGCACCACATGGATGATGATCGCCACCAACTTCCCATAGAACAAATCCTAACCTCTCCGGTCAAAGCACAGGACATGGGGACGCCGCGTCCTCCGTCATCAAGCTCGACCTTCATCGCTAAAGAATGCCCCGGATGATGACGGCACCGATCTTTTTCCATCTCGGAAATACAAAGTCAAGCGCTGTTTGTCTGAACCAGGTCATCGTTATGTGAAGATCATGCATAGTTTAATGATCTCTCCTTGGCATTATGACAGCTTCAAACGATGGGTATTGCCACGAGAGGGATGATATGGAAGGCAAGCCAAGTCAACGAAGGGGAAAAACAAAAAGATTAACGAGTCAACTAGATCTTCCAATCTGGGGAACAACCTGTCCCGAGCCCAGAAGCTCTTAAGATGTCAAAACCAACCCCATCCAACAACTCATGAAAGATAATATTATCTTACTCTGTGAATTCACTTGCTCTGCTTCCACCTCCTATCTCTATATATATACAAAGCGCCCTTGCCAAGACAGAGGTACCAATTCAAGATCTCTCATTGAGCCTTTCTTCTGCAATCTTGTGACAGAGATCATAGATGGCAACTCTCAGATCATTGACTTGCTTTGTTCTAGCGGCATTGTTAATAGAAGTAGCCGCGGCAGTTAGCTACACGGTCGGAGGGAGCGGCGGGTGGGACACGAGTACTGATTTCCAGACTTGGGCATCATCTCAGAAGTTCATGGTAGGAGATACTCTGGGTGAGTAACATCCCAATGCTTCATTTATGATATGTTGTAGTCTTGATTGTATCACATGGGTTTGATTTGCGGCTTGTCATTTAAGTTGTGGTTGCATTTGCTTCGAACTTAGGCTCCGTTTGTTTCGCAGAATAATTTTTTTTTTTTTAAATGATCGCTTATAGTGCTCACAATGAATGAACGGAAATTTTGATCATCGTTCATGAAATTTAGATATAAATTGTTGTCGATAGCGAAGACATTTTTTATCAGCTAATTATTTCAAATGATATAAGCTATCATTTTTGGGACAATATTTTCTAAATTATTCATTTTTCGCAAAAAAAACGAGCCTTAAATATCTTTTTTTTCCTAAAAGTGTGAAGGACTTGAAAAGCAATGACATTCGAAATTGGGATATTACAGACTTCCATGACTTGATTATAAAGAAAGAAACAAACATATAAGATAGCCTATAATGCTATTTTAGGAGGGTTTTAGATAGTTCTACACAAATTATCCCTCAAATCACAAGTTGAATTTTTATTTGAGTTTCGATGCCATCACGGGTAGATCATAAATCCTTGGTCGGAATGAAAGCCTCCAAAATGGATCTCTGGTCATTGTGTGGTCCTAAATAACATGCTTTCTATACAAAGGGGTTCTTGCAAAAGTTTCTGTCAAAATGGCTCTAATTAAGCACTTGATGCTTGACCTCTATGCTAAAAATCTATGGGCGAGAGCAATACATTAGACACTAAGCGGTGCTCTCTATCCTTTACAGTCTTTCAGTACACACCAATCCATGATGTAACCGAAGTCACCAAGGCAGACTATGACTCTTGCCAAGCAACCAGCCCAATCAAAACAAGCACTGGTGGCTCCACCACTGTTTCACTCACATCTCCGGGCAAGAGATACTTCATTTGCGCTACCCCAGGACACTGCGCCGCAGGAATGAAGCTCGAAGTAGACACCCTCGCAGCCACTTCATCCCCGCCACCAGCCATTCCCGCCACCCCTCCACCCGCATCTCCCGCCACCCCACCACGGAGATCCCAAGCTGCTTCCCCGCCGTCAAAATCTCCACCTGCATCTCCCGCCACCCCACCACCGAGATCCCCAGCTGCTTCCCCGCCGTCAAAATCTCCAGCAGCCTCTCCTCCAGCAAAATCTCCAGCTAGTCCTCCACGTTCTGCTCTGTCTCCTACAACACCCGAATCCTCACCGGCAATGGCTCCTACAACACCCGAATCCTCACCAGCAACGACGCCAGGATTAGCTCCTCCAAGCGAAACTGGTGCGGAATCGGCAAAGTCATTGGCCAATAGAGGAAGTTTGACTTTTACTTGGGCCATGGGAGTATGCTTCGGAGTCGCGAGCCTTCTGGCTGTGTAAGGAGCTAAACATTCTTTTGTGATTCTGTTAGATCTCTGTATTTGATAATTTTTTTTGTATCTTCCCTCACATATTTCTGGTGTGTTTGAGAAGACACTGTACTTTTTAGAGCAGAGAAGGGATCATCATTCGTGACCCAATAATAAAATAGTCAGGCAGCTTTTACAGACACATGAGCGTTGTGGTATCTTGAAATTAGATTACTTTGGCGTCAATCCAACAAGGTAATCTTGAATTCTAGTGGCAGTTTCGTAAAGGACAGTCAAACCAGGGATATAAAATTCTGCGCACAATGGCCTCTTCCTCAGGACTGAAGCATTGCCTATCCGTTGAGCGAGTCATCCAGAGACTTTCAGATGAGATCAGACCCATCTCTTGATCTACCCTCAAATCACCACCAAGGCCATATATATGTTGAAAGTCTCGAGTCTCTCTATCTAAGCCTGGCCTGAGATTAGAATTGGTGGTAATTGCTAGCTGTCTGAAGTCAAACGATTCTTTTCCCCAACTGTTCTTCTCGCTTCAATTTCTGATTCTATCGAAACTAGGATGGTCCTTTGTACTATATAGTATATAGTACATACCAAGTCCCCAAAAACTGAAATTAGACTCTTATCCAATTCCGCACGGCACTGTCATCTAAATGGTCCTCCGACAAAAAGAAAAGGATGTAAGATGACCCTTGCATGCATTTCATTCACCAGTTCAATTTGGATTAATAATTACATCAAACCTTTGTGCCCATGCAACCGTTGACATAACATAAAGTACTGTGTACCAATATTATCCATATGTCCATTGGACCGGCCCTCCTTCCCCATCGAAAATGTCTATCACATGGCTGTGTTTGTGAAGAGTTTCACTTAGTGGGACCATCTACAATTGGATGCTTAAGATGGCCTAACAATAACAAAGAGAGAACCCCGTTCCAAGTTCAACCACCATATGCTTAGTAACAATAAGAAGTCACTTTTGGCAAAATTAGAAGAAGTCACAATACAAGATTAGAAGAAGTTGAAATAGTCAGCGGCGCCGACGAAGGGGACACTACAAATGTGCGTTATTACCTAAAATCACCAATTCTCTAGAATTTTTAAAATTCTGATTTGCTTAGTAAACGGAATTTAAGTGGCAAAAGGACACTACAAGTGCCATAAGTTGTGTACGGAGGCCACTTTGGTGCCATAACTTTTTTTTGGATCACTTTGGTGCCAAGTCGGAGGAAAAGAGATCACTTAAGTGCCAACTCCGGTAAGTTTGGCCGGAAATCCGACGTGGCATTTTTTTATTAATTTCTGACGCCGACGTGGCTCGCCGGAGGATGAGTCAGCGTGTACAGTCAGCATTTTTTATTTTAAATAATTTTTTTCCTTTTTTTCTTTTTTTTTCCTCTTCTTTCCTTTTTCCTTTCTTTTCTGTTTTTTCTTTTCTCCCCTCGCCAGCCGATTGGCCGGGCCACCGGCGAAGCCAGGGAAGGGCTGGGCGAGGGCGGCCTTGCCCATGACCGGCGAGGGGCAGCCTTGCCAGATCTAGGCGAGGCGACCCTCGCCGGCGACAGGCGAGGCGACCCTCGCCGGCCATGGGCAAGGCCGCCCTCGTCCAGCCCTTCCCGGGCTTCGCCGGTGGCTGGGCCAACCGGCCGGTGAGGGGAGAAAAGAAAAAAAAGAAAAGAAAGGAAAGAAGAGGAAAAAAAAAGAAAAAAAAGGAAAAAAAATATTTAAAATAAAAAATGCTGACTGTACACGCTGACTTATCCTCCGGTGAGCCACGTTGGCGGCAGAAATTAATAAAAAATGCCACATCGGATTTCCGACCAAACTTACCGGAGTTGGCACTTAAGTAATTTCTTTTCCTCCGACTTGGCACCAAAGTGATCCAAAAAAAGGTTATGGCACCAAAGTGACCTCCGTACACAACTTATGGCACTTGTAGTGTTCTTTTACCGAATTTAAGCAAATCAGAATTTACCAGTCAGATGGAATGTCATCCTAGGATATGCTCTGCTCAATTAATATTTATATTATTTTATGTGCTAATGTCGCAAATCAACGTTGATCGCTAGCAATAATTAAGAAACCACAAACAAAATATATTCATTCCTATTATATACACGTAGTTTTCCCTCCACTTATTAGCTTTTAATGGACTTTCTAATATGGTTTCCGTCCCACTTTATTTCGAGTGTGCGGCCCTGTTCATCAGATTTGCTATGTTGTTTTTATCTGGTTAAAGTGTGCCGCATTATTTGCTTGCGAAATTTATATCCCTTTGATATAGATGTGATTTCTTTTTATGTTTTAGTTTAAATTTTTGAATTGAACTTTCTAATGATCTCATTCGAGATAGCTACATTTACGCACAAGGTGAAGAGACTTTTGACTTGAGTAATTATTGAAAAATATGTCTGGACCCAAAGAGAAAACATGCATTGAGAAATACCCAAGATATACCAATGAGTTGTCTTCTAGAAAGATATATGTCAAGAAGAAAACAGATATGTTTGAGGTAGTATTTGCCTAACTAGTCAAAACTTGATGTTTACTTTTCCCCATTTGCCCTATAAGTCTAGCTTATTTGATAGATTTATCCAAAAATTAATTCTAGAAAGTGGAGTGCGTTACTAGATAATTTGTAATTTTCAATGGGGGTGTTTCTGCAAAAACAACTAAAACCTTCTCAAACTTATACAAATACTACATAGTGAAAATTTTCAAAACCATAAACATATTATACGATGATCAATTCAGTCTTAAATCTTTCAATTGTATCAATTTAGTCTCTTTTGATAATTTGTCAATGTAGTCATTTCGATCGATTTTGGGGGGAAATCGTTGACATGGATGCCAATCGTGGCCGTTCTATGTGGCACGGTCAACACTAATGTAAATGATTTTTAGAGTGTTTTTTATTTCTTTTTCTTTTTTTCCGTTGGCTCTGGGAGAGGGCCACACTTGCCACCTGGCCAGATCTCAGAGGGCGGCCCGCCCTGACTCTCCCTCAACCTCACAAAATCTGGGCAATGGGTGGTTGGCGAGGGTGACCCTTGCCTACTTGTGGCAGTTGCCAGAATCGACAACCGACCACAGGCAAAAGAAAAAAATAGGGAAAAAAGAAAAGACAAATTAGATAAGAAAAGAAAGAAAGAATAAATAAATAATTCGAAAAATTAACATCCAAGTCAGCGCCACCTATGTCACGTAGGACGGTCGACGTCCACATTAGCGAGTTTCGAAGGACTATATTAGCAAATCGTTAAAATATTTAGGACTAAATTGACACAATTAAAATGTTTAGGACTGAATTGGCCATTGTACAATAAGTTTTGGACTTTTTGAACAATTATCCCATACTACATGACCTACCCAAATTATATATAAGTATAGGTACCTTCATCTCATTCATGGATTATAAGAATAGGGTTCGCAATTGATAATTAATATGGTATAAATAGTACCACGTCAGCTTCATCTCATTCATGGATTATGAATCGTGTCTCGAATTTGAATCGTGTATGGAATCCAATCTATTGGAAGATATTGATTTGTTCAAAATCTGATGGGTCTCAAAGTTTGACCATGAAGTGAATTTAAATTAGGAAACTTTTGCTCACTTGTCTTTTTTGGCACAAGGGTTTTTTAGCTACAAGACAAAATAAGGGGCTCATCCGTTCCATAAATATATATTTTATTTAAGGGTTAAAAAAAGAGCTTGTCATAGGAAGATATAAAAAGCGAAGGTCTGCTTTTTTGTTTCCTAAGAGAAAAGCACCACTCAAAGGAAAAGAAAAAACGCTTACAGAGACACTTCTTGGTTGAGTCGTACACGATGATTTGTGTTTTGAGCGTTACATCCAATTGAGTTATTTATTTATAAGCATTGTGGGTTTGGGCTTAATATAGACGATAAAAATACTCGAGCATGTAAACAATTATAATTCTGATTCTTCGAATATTACTGGATTATTTACTGCTAGCTCTATCAATACTCAGACCAAATCACGTAAATATCTTATGTTTTTTATCATTCCTTATTTATTTCTCTAGTGATTTCGCTTTCTTCAACTGCAAAATCATGTCAATTTCCACTCTAATTTAACAACAACTGGTATTAAAGCTTAGGATCGGGTTTTCTAGATTTTAATTTGGGGCTTTTACTTGTCTAATTATTATCTGGAAATTTATGTTGTTACAATTATGTCTTAAACAAAAGTAAAAATTGAGAAGTTTAATGGGAGGAACAACTTTGGGTTATGGAGCGTTAAGATGCGTACGCTATTAACAACCTAAGGTTTCGCCAAGGTATTGGATCACAAAGATGGGTTGCCAATTTCGATAAAAGAGCTGATAAGGTATAGTTAATGGAGAAAGCAAATCAAATGAGGTATTAATAGAGGTGGTCAAGGAGAAGGATGCGGCAGAGTTGTGAGCAAAACTTCAGGCATTGTATGTAACAATAAGTTCGAACAATCGCTTGTATATGTTAAAGAATATATTTTAGTTTAGATACATTGAAGGTACGTCTATTAGATCTCTCTTAGATGAGTTTAATAAGCTCATGGGGAATTTAAAGAAAGTCAATAGATCTTAAATGATGAAGAATAGGGCATTATGTTGTTAGTTTCTTTACTCACTTTATTAATTTACTATTACTGGGGTGTACTACTATTATCTCAAAAGAGGTAAAGTCTGCCTTGTTTTCTAAGGAATGGTAAAGAAAATTGTCATCTAGCACAAGACGTAGCGTGGGGAATAGTGATACGAGGTAGAGATCACCAGCAGGGGTTTGGTAGCAACTGAGGTAAAAGCAAGCCGAAATCACGCCATAAAAGTTAAAGGGATGCGTGAAGTGCTTTGAGTGTCACGGGGAATGGCACATAAGGAGAGATTGTCTAAAGAGATGAGAGATAGAGTTGACAAGCAAAGTACCACAAGTAGTGGTGAACGTTGTCGAAGAGAGCACCAGTGATGCAGAGGCCACCGCACAGCATCCGCGACACCATAGCAAAATGACATTGCAGAATGGAAGAAGAGAACTTTACTAAAGCGAGCTTGATGCATGCTTT